AGCAGCTGAAAATTCCAGAGATCGGTGGCATTCTTGCTAATCACTTCATCTATATGCGGTAAATCCATATGGGTGCTGTTACTTTCGAACCACAGTACACAGTAAAACCATGTGGGTGCTGTTACTTTAGAACCTTGGGAACATGTGTTTGGCATCATTTCTTACTAATCTATGTACTACAGACTTACTAAGGACTCGCTTCAAGTATTCTAAATTTATTCCGGAATTGTAGTATTAAAGCTAGTATACACCACGGAAAATAAGGAGTGGCTAGAGAAGTTACTGGACACTAGCCATCATCCACGTTATCGACCACCGTTATCGCTTGTACTCGCTAGGAGATAGACAATAACAACATAGTCACTCCGAGTTATACTCTCTGTCATGGCTTTTCTTCTAACGGTATTGGTGTACGCTCATATTGCACCAATACACGGAATTTGGTGTCCACAACTCGCTTTTATCTTTTAATCAGCCAGCATCATTTCACTTTCACCAGCCAGCATCATTTTACCAGTCTTCACTTTCTACGTCGCCATCGTTTCACCCCAGTTCAGCTCAGTACAGTTATGTCCCCGTGTGGACACAGATTAGGATCATTATTGCCACCAGCAGTGTCTGTCACGGAATTTCGGTCAACAGTTTCAGTATAGGACCTTCAGTCATGGTATTTGTTATCTTGCCGTCAGTTTCAGCATAGGATCACCTGCCTCGGTATTTGTTATCTTGCCATCAGCTTCAGTATAGGATAGTCTCCGTGTAGACTCAGGATCAGTATCAGTTTCGTTTTACCGCAGTTAACCTCAGTCCAGTTTTAGTTTCATCATCACTCAGTTCCGTTCATTGTTTGCCGCCACTAGTTCCCCTCATATCATCACCAGTTCGTCTTATCTTCGTTTTACCGCCAGTTTCTCGTTTCTCAACTACAGTCTTTGTCTCTTGCCGTCACGGTATTTGTTATCTTGCCAACGGTATTGCTCTTTGACGGCATTTTCTCTAATTCCGTCAACCTCACCCACGGCTTTTACTAGTTAAATTGCCGTCACTTCGTTCATGGTTTGCTGGTATTCCCAGTTATACCGGATTCCGTTCCTTCTCGTCTATCGAGACCCTTCCCGGCTTACAGCCAACGTTTTCTAGTACTCGATCGTTAAGGGTACTACTTCGCTGACTGCAAAGTCGCAGTGTATACTTGCGTTCTTGAGGAATTCATCGCACGGAGGTGCACTGAAACACTCGCACAACAACAAAAGCCTTTATTGCTGCTACGTGCCATTTGCTGTGAACTCCTCTAGAGTTTTGGTTTTTGCCGTTGCCACGGAAGTTTAGGCTCATCATCGGGTAGGAACCCTCCTTCTGGTGCAAGGAAGGGTTCGAGCTCATCGGGGGATTTTGCTCCCTCATACTCAACTGTGGCCAGGGCTCTGAGGCGACGGCAGATGGAGCAGTTGCAGTAGGGGTATGGATGGGGAGGGGTCTGGTCAAGCTCCCACGGGACTCAGTTTGGGAGGATGATAGGGTCCGGAAAGGGTTGGTCTCCGGCAAACCAGTCAAGGAGCCTGTCTCCTTCTGGTGTGTCTCCTGGGAAGATAACCCACTGTCCCCCGCTAATCGGGGATCCCTGGTGGGTGTAGTACTCTGGGAGCTCCTCATTATTACTGTCGGAGTACTCGGTGAATATGACGCTGTCAGGTCCGTCTTCGACGGCGTCATTGGTGGAAGTCTCTGAGATGTGGGCAAAGCGAGGCTCTGCGAACTCTCTAAGGTCGGCGATGGTGAAGAGGGTCAGGGGAATGACCTCGGATTCAGGTCGGGGGGAGGGCCAAACGAAGTCTGACTCATGGACGGACTCGTCGTCTCACCAGGAAGGGGGTCCGTCCACTCTGTAGGTTCCATCGGGGGTGTATGACGCGAGAGAGGTTGGAGCGTCATGCCACTCCGGCTCGGGAGATTCATCTCTTCGATGTCCTCCTGTGTTGGGTAATCCCCGTACTTCCCCTCATTCCTGGGCAGGGAGGAACGGGTTTTCACCTTCTTCGAAGGTGGTTCTTCGCCTGGTTCGTCCGTGGACGATTCAATCGAATACGTCACGGTAGAACCCACTCGTTCCCCTCTGGTAGAGATGCTCTCCATCGTCGTCGAACCCTGGGATGGCTGCGGATAACTCTGTGGAGGCAATGGATGGCTCCTTGGAGTCATTGTCGTCGCCCCATGTTGTGTCATCCCAGGATCCGTCCGCGTTGGTCCAGTACTCGGTGGTAAATCTGGGGTCGACTCGGTCGTCTCCATCGTCTGGAGGGATGCCGAGTCGTCCCAGCTCTTCTTCCCGAAGGGATTCTTCACCTTCACCATCTCAGTGATCCTCTCCCTGAAGCTCAAGCGTGGGGGGTTGCTCTTCTCTGTCAGGTAAGGGGTGTCGAAGTGTGTCTCGCTCCCCCCTTGGCCGTGGCATGAGGGACCGGAGTCGGACGGTGCTTGTTGTTTGTGAGGTTCCTGTTGATGAGCCATTGAGTCCATGTATTCTCCCTCTTCCGGGGGTCGGTGCTCTTTGGCGGTGGGTTGGTCAGAGGATATGAAGAACTGCGACTGCAGTTACTAGTGTCAAGATACTGAAGGTACTTCCGAAGATAATGGCGGTGCAGTCTGAGGGGGTGAGCAGCATAAAGTTCATTGTACCACAATGAATGTTTATGATCTCAGGGAACGGTGGGTGCCGTTTTTGAATAACGGGCTGAAGGTTTCTTTTTCTTTGGAAGTGTAACAGTGACTGCCTTGAAGCGGTACAGTTACCGTTGACAACGGTAAGGGTAGTAAGGGCAAGCTTCGGCTAATTGTTAAGCACTAACTCAAACCTTCGCCAAAGCTGGTCTCTATCCTGTCACTCACGTTCGGTGATTCAGTGTTAGAGAGGCGTTGGTAGATTGCGAGAAGTTAGGCATCACTTATAGCGAAAGCAAGGAGCTTGTAAGAGTTAGGAGTGTAAAACCTTAGCCAAAGCTGGGGTCTAAGGCCACAGCGTAGGCTAGCTTAAATACATGTTGGACTTGTACTAAGAATAGTGTCTACAAGGGCACATGCAGTGAGAAGTGCGTCATTCAACGAATGAGGAGTGAGGACACCAAAAGAAGTGTACTCCCGACGAATGAGAGTAAAGAGTGCATATCACCTGCATCTGCGTGGGACTCCATCTGAATGGGCTGCATCCCGTAGACCGCCCTCGACTGGCGGTCGACTCTTGTCCAACTACTAAGAAGCATGATGCCATCAAGAGAAGCATGATGGCGCATGCGGGTCGCTGGTCATCTGGGGGGCAGCAGCGTGAACTGGGGTGATGGCAGCCGGGTAACCGGGTAAAGAGTGTGCCGGTGGAATATTATGGGTCTGAGAGATAAGATAGGTAGGTCCGGGGTTCTGATGGATAAGGATAAGATAAGATAAGGAAAATAGGGGTAAAACTGTAATAGGAAAAAGCTTGGATGTGGGTGAGGAACCATTCTAAGTCCTTTTTAACAGCCTTGTTGAGGTACAACTTCTTATAGGCTTTGTGATGGCCCAAAATCTTCTCGTACACATTGCACAGGCCTGGTTTCAGCAGGGGGAAGACATTCAAGGACCAATTCATCCACCTGGCTAGCTGCTTCCACTCGCTCACAGTTCGGCAGTGCGAGGGAGTGTTGATGAACTCACAGATGGCAGTGATAAGCTCAGCTTTTGATTCGGGTGGGAGAGTCACGGTCATCTCGTTGATGTCAATCAAGAAACCAATGACGGTGAGGATAGCACCCCACAGTTGTTTCCTCTTCATATGGGGAATGCCCAGTTCATCCAGGAGGAGCAATAATTTTGCTTGTTTCATGGGGTAGAAGCATTGGTATGGCTCGTACCAGGTGAGACTGCCTTCCATCTCCCAACTCCACGTATCATCGACATAGCAGAACAAGTCGAGAATAAATTTTATGAAGATTGCGATCCAGATGATCAGGCCCATGATAGAGGCCCAATTGCGAGATGAGGCACAGCTCCTGAAACAACTATGCCAATCTACGGTGCGTATCAAAGCACCACATTCAATGCCACGATCCAGATCCTCCCTCGTGGGTATGTTTGTCGTAACGACCTGCTTTATTTGCCAGAGAGGATGAGCAGGATGGTGTCGGAACGCCTCTGAGACATCGGACTTCCATAAGACCAGGTGGGCATTGCCATGTTTTCAGCGAAAATGGAGCAAGGCAGGCAGGAATTGGTGGAGAGTATCCATCCGGGGTCCACGAGTAAGCTCTTTGTCAATCATGCTGTTCTGAGAGAATATGCCACAGCTCTGATGTGATACCAGGCATAGCTTGTCAGAATGTGGTATTGGTACAGCCAACACAGGAGTGCTGTACATCCCAGGTAGCAGATCTAGGCCAAATGGAGGTGAGAAACAACGTTTCTCAATCTTGATATCTCTCTGATGAGCGAGAAATGACTGTTCTGCTTTGCTCGCAGGTGGAGCCCATGAATTGTCCCAGGTTTCCGGGTACCCCTCAGCATGTTTAATGTGTGCCCAAGGCCAGAATCCTTCATGCAGTGAGGTTATGACCGACTCAACAAATGGAGTGTTGGGATGAGAGATGAGTAGAGATTCAAGGTGATCCACCTTGATTGGTGTGCTCACGTCAAACAGGTGAGGATAGTTCTTAATGGTGCTCATCGCAGCCAGGTTCTCAAACTCGGAAGCGGGAGGATGAGGCAGAGGTTTGTCAACCTCAGTATAGTGAGCGGTACAGCTTTCAAATCGAGTAGGGTCGCGCCAGGCATACCCTCTCATATATCTCGGTATGTGACTGACCGCAGTGATTGCGTCCTCATTTACCAACCCCAGTTCTTCACAACAGTCCCAGTCTGGGGGATATGTGTCACCCTCATCATTGTCCAACTCTACATGCCTGTTAGCATGCCCAGCGAACTTCGACAGGTCAGCCTGAATAGCAGCAAGCTCAGACAGACTTCCCGGTGTTTCAGCTGGGGCAAGACTTGCTGGAGTGATCATTGGATTTACAGTTGGAGCATACATGTCGGTAGCGACAGTCGTCAGCTGAGCACCGACCACCATTCCAGTTCTGACAAATCTCCCTTTGTCGTTTCTTTGGTTGCCCACCTTCTCTGCTACTTCCACTAGTGCCGGCCTCACTGGGTGGAGCCACATAGGCAAGGCCAGTAACCTTGAGATAAGACTCCTTGAGCTCGATGAACTCGTGGATGTTGTTGAAGAGCATTGTTCCATGGGACGAGGCAATATGAGCACGGCAGGCTTTCTCGAAGACGATGACTTGTGGGTCCATGCTGGGGTGGTGATGCTGGAACAAGTTGTTGATGAACTTGTAGTATCTTCTGAGCTTGGCTTGCCGTCCATTGAAGATGTGGTTGAGGATTTCCTCATATTTGTCCCAGACAAACTTCCAGTTGTCATGGTTGACGACTTTGTGGGCATAAGAGGTCTCGGCCATTTGGAACACGAGTCCATTCCTGAGGGAGTGTGTGACAGTTGTTGGGACACTGGGACTGTTGAAGTAGGAGTGGACTTCATTGAAGTTAATGACACTCCCGTAGACGATGGCTCTGAGGCTGTTGTCCGTGAACGGAGGGGGGTGAGAGTTCTTGATGAGGCAGAGACACTCTTTAGGGTCCACGGAGAAGTTCTCGTATCGCCTTTTGACTGCCAAATGTGCGGGTGAGAGGACTGCATTCTGGATAGTTCTGTTGACCTCCCAGTCAAAGAGGGACGGATCAAGCTTGCGCCATTTTGCGTGTCCTTCAGCCTCATCAGCAGAGGAGTCCGACTCGGAGTCGGAGTCACTTGAAGAGGTGGATCGTCATCGATGTCTGTGACATCAGTCATGGCGACATCAGCCATGTCTGCTCTGTGACCATGAACAGGGTCGGGACCTTCCACGGCTCCTACTCCATGCATTTGGAGAACCCCTATTCTGTCTGCCAGCTGCATCGTCGGGTGGTTGTCTTTGCCTACCCCTATCCGCTGCATCAGCAAGCGATTTTTTGTGAGCGTCGATTTGAGTGAGCCAGGGTTCGAGCATGGCATCATCGTAGATGAGGCCATGTCGCTCACATGCTCGACCAATGTAGGTCAATATCTGGCGGATGGCAGTCGTCTTCAGGATAGCTTCATCGAAGTACTGCTTGTTGATCCTCTCGAGGTCACGGTGAATGGCATTCCTGATGCCTTCATCTTGTTCCTCTTGTCTCTGTGGCTCCTCCCATGGTCTGAATGGTCTCCGCTCTTGACCAGCGTCTTGCTGAGGTGGACCATTGGACATAGTATGGGCTGTAGTTGCTGTAGTTGTTGATATATAGATCAAATAGTATATTCAATGTAGTGAGCACTACTACGTCTAGTGAGACTGTAAGTATACGAGGTAAAGAGAGGATACTGAGGGTCATACCTGGCGAGACTGTGAGGATATGTGGCAGAGAGAGGATGACCCCTCTTCTGCTCACAGTCTGCCAGGTAACGGCCAATCTGCAGGATCAGGATTGCATTCCGCCTTGCTTGCAACCTAGGAGGTGAAGGCGAGTGGATACAACAGTCAAGGACTGGTACAAGCTCGACTTACTTGTGCTCAATCCACCTGTAGCTGCTACTCTGATACATTAAACAGTGTTAGTTGACACTTAATTGTGATACATCAACAGCGTCAGTTTACACTGAACCTATATAGGGGAATCACGCAGATACTACAGGAGGCTTTAGTAAGCACAGCGGCCGGAATGAAATGACATCATCAGAAAATAGCCGGCCAACCGAGAGTCGAACTCGGGACCTCCAAAATAATTCTGAATTGCATCATATAATACTAATCATAGTCATGCTAACCACTACACCATACCAATGTTAATATTAAAAGTATTCTTACTGTATATATAGCCTCTTTTTTCGCAGATCACCACAACTACTTAGCTAATCCCGCCTCTTGGGTGACGCATACCAAATCCGTCAATACTAATTTATCTGAGTGAAATTATTTAAAATCATAAGATATATATATTAAAAATGCAAAAATATATTAATATGTATATAGGAGGGGCGATGAGCGGTGGGCGGGCTTGTGTAACAGAAACAAAGAGAATGGGATTTGGCGCCAAGGGAGAGATTTCGAAGGGTGACGTTGGACGCATGAAACATAATGCTTGCTGGGAATAGTGGAGGGAGGGCTGATGGATGGGTATACGCATGTCGATGGGATGCTGGGGCAGCCAAACGCACCTCACTTCCACCACTCAGGAATAAGGGCGGGATAACGAAGTGGCTGTCATGGAATGCGTGGTAGTCCAACAGGGATAAGAGCTGGCAGTGGGGTTGGCCTCATTTGGCAGCAGTGGCGGACATGACGACAGTACCACCATTGCCTTCCCTGTTGTAAAAGGGGGTGGTTCATATGCCAGTGGGAGGCACCGTAATTGGCTGGAGGTGCAGCTTGGGGTGCAGGGTGTTGGGTCAGCTCGTGTGGTGGCGACGGTGGCGGCTGGGAAAGGATATAGTGAATGCATCGTACTCTCCAGTATGGGAAAATGGAAGATGCAACACGATAGCAACGTAGGCGGTGCATACAGCATAGGGAAAGCTCATGTTGGAATCACCGCAGTACTAGCAGTGGGATGGAGTCGTTACAGGGTCATTTGAACCTCCATGCTCTGAGTGCCATCGTCATCGTCGAACATCGGTGTCCAGCCTGTTGTGAACCCTCCCGCCCAGCATCCTTCT